ATATATATATATATATAGAGGTGTCACTATATATATATCCATGGATGGTCCGGCCCAGCCCACTACAGTGGTTAATTCGGTATGGCCCGACTCTGTATTGTTATGGGCCGGGCCGGCTCGACACTCCAGAAGGGCATGAGCTGGGCCTCATGTTTGAGGCCCGCAGCCCAGACACGGCCCAGGCATGCGAAGGGTCAGGCACTGCCCAGGCCTGCGAAGGGCTAGGCACGGCTCGTGAAGGTCAAGGCCCTCGACATGAAATTTTAATGAGGTTTGAGGCATTTTAGTGCCAACTGGTCGACTTATGTTACCCGGTCAACTAGTGCTAGAACTTTAGACGGACAGCCCCCGACCGCCCGAAAAAACTGATTTTGAGCCCGATGCCTGAGCTCACCCGAGAAAGCCCATGGACGGGCCGTTGGCCTAGTTTTGGCTGCTCGAGCCCGGTCAGGCAGCCCGAGCCTGTCCGAGAAGCCCGAATATTATATTATATATAGTATTGTTTCCCACACACATGTTAACGACTAGATCAATGCCAATTGTCCATCACAGTTTAAGTAAATACGCTACATACCCAAATCCAACCCACTGTCCTTAGTAGACAACTAGCTTTCAATTTTCAACCATATTTCAAAATTCGACTCTTAGGTTTCAAGCATAGTAGGAGAGTCGGCAATTAAAAAAATAAAAAAAAAAGAAAGAAAAAGGTGAAGATGGAGCCGACGACGATTCAAAAGGCGATTGGGGCGGTGAAGGACCAGACGAGCATCGGGATCGCGAGCAAAAGAACTAAGGGACACAATGTTGCATAATATTGGAACCACAGTGGAGAGAGCAACCCTTCGTCGATGCATGCGATCTAGGCTTTGCCATTGCCTACTGCGAAAAAAAAAACATTCCAGCTTCTCAAATTTTCATCGCTCCATGGTAGACGTATCCCCTTAACAAGCAGATCCACCCAAGTACATGCATGCCTCTCATCGACGAACACAATCGAGATTCCATCCCCGACGCTGAACAACCATCCACTCTCGCCTCCCATCCTCAACATCACTTTCGCGAGAACGAAGAAGCCCTGATAGTATAGAACTTCCAGACCACAAATCTGTTCTGCATAGGCGTCCGTGAACCTGACGGCCCCACTCAACCTTCTTGCCAAAGATCCCTCTTCTCCAGCGACAAGGCCCTCCGGAACCTTCAAGGTGGATGCCAAATCTCTCCGTCTTTGAGGCCGAGATTCCGACGACAAGCCAAACAGCGGTGCCAGAATCTGGCCCTAAGAAGGAGACACACACAGAAAAACTTAACTCACATAAGAGAGAGAGAAAACTTAGCCGTTAAGAGAGAAAAAAACCCAAAAGTAAGGTATACATTTTTTAGGGTAATTTGTACTGCTAGTCCCTCAACTCTTTAGTAGGTGACACTTTAGTACCTTTTCTTTTAATTTTGACAAAACGATCTCTGAACTCTCTTAATATTGGCAATCAAGTCCTTTATGTCGAATTCCGTTAAATTTCTAACGGATTCTTACAATAACCCATCATGTATGCCTATTTTTAAGTGGAAATACCAAATTACCCTCAAACCCACTCAGCACAATGACATAATCCACATAAAATCAAAGAAAACCCAGACAAAATCATGAATAACAACATCATCTGAATATTTCTACCCAAAAAAAAAAAATCTAAATACTCCTTCAGAGATCGCTTAGCAGCAAACTTCCAATTTTGAACACTGTAAGATTATGACGAGATAAAAAAATTTAAAAATGTCTCAAAATTAGCATCCACTCTCAACACAAATCAGATTAATCACGAATCAAAAACCAATTTACTTCAGCAACACTAAATCAAAATTGAAGAAACTCGCGATTAACACAATATTAATAGAATAAATATGACAATTTAAGAAAACAACTAAGCATGTAAGAGGAGCTTGCTTTAACCTTCTTTTTCTTTTTCTCTTTCTTTTTCCTCCTTTGCACAACAAACAAATAAACAAATACTGTATACATATTTTCGCAAAAAAAAAAAAGTGTACAGATAACATATAGGAAAGTTTCGTGGATAGCAATTTGAAACATATAAATCTAATTTCATGTGTAAATGGCATTTTATTTTCTCTAATTTTGTGACTTTCTCCTTGAAAAAGTTTAGACAAATTTCATGATGGAGACCCACTAAATACAGCTTTACTAATAATACTTGTAGCCTCAACATAACGATTAATATTTATAGATGCAACTATTCTCACCTAGCCATCTATATAGCATGTCGTACCCTTACAGTCTTACGAAAAAAACTCGACTTAAGCCTTCCCTTGAAATCATTGGAATTGAATTAACTCCCAGACCCGCTCAATGGAGATAAAAACGAAAGAAAGAGCTTCAAATCCTAGCCTTCTCGAATCTCGCTTTACTTTTCTTTTTGTTCGCCGTGAGCCAACTCTGCCACAACCGTTGCAATCCAACCCCGGCCCAACCACAAGGAGATCGTCGTCACCTCCGCCTTATTGATCTCCTTTTCCCCTTCTGTAATCCCTTCCCATCTCGTCCCTTCCCTTGGGCCGACTCGTCTCTCTCCCTCTCCCTTTTTTCTGATTCTAAGTTTTTTCTTTTTAGTTTTTTCCCTAAAAAAATATGCAGTTTTTTGGGAGGATTTTTTATTTTCAATTTTTTGTTAAATTTATATATTATTATTTTACCAAAGCACCCTTTGGTATTTGATCGCATGTGATACAATCTATTAAAAACTTAACTAATTATGACGGAAAGAGTTTAATTGTCAGTGTTTAAGGAATTTTGGGATTGTCTTGTCAAAATTAAAAAAATAAAGAGATTAAAGTGTCACATATTAAATAGTTAAATGACCAACAGTATAAATTATATTTTTTGATAACCTCAAAATGCAAGGCATAAAAATTAAAAAATAAAATTAAATAACTTAGGCCTTGTTCAGTTTATAAATTCAAATTTTCAATTCAAACTGATGTATAATTTTATGTGAAAACTTTTCACTATAATAAAAAAATTAAATTTAATATTTTATAAAAATTTTTGACTATAACAAAACTATATTAATACTGCTGTACAGTAATAACTGTGTCAACGTTGTATTTGTATCGTCATCATCGACCGCTAGCTTAGCCAACGACACAATCAAAATTCCAAAGAAACCACGAAGAAGATTCGTGCGTTTCGTACAAAAAAGAACAAAAGAAAAAATAGAAAATCAACAAAAGAAGGGAAAAAAAAAAAGGCACAATGGGATTCTGGCCGTACTATTGGGAAGTAGAAGCAACCCTTAATATACGCATCCCAAGCGCATAATAGAATTGGAGGCGTCCGTTAACAATATCCCAACCTAAGAGTCTTCTTCATTTCACCCATTTAAGTATAAAATTTAAGTTTTATTACAGTAAGAAGCTCTCAGAAATAGTCACATCTAACTTTTTTATTACAGTAAAAAGCTCTCACATAAAATCACATCTCAATTCGAATTAAAAACTCAAATTAACGAAATAAACTAAGAATTTGTTCTTTTGGAGTCTAATTTTAATATAATTTTTGAGTTGAATTTGAGTTATAACTTAAGTTAAACGTGTAACTTGAGTTTGTGTTTAGTTGTGTACATTTGAGTTATGGTTTGAGATAAAAATCTTTTTGAGTTTGTGTTTAAGTGAGTTAAAACTTAAATTTATATTTAAATAGTATTTTAATAAAAACTCAATGCTGATGAAAAATTTTAATAGGGTATATGGTTCAGGTTTTATTCATCTTTTTATTGTCAACGCATAGAAAAAAAATCATCTCAATCAGAATTAAAACGAAAAAGTTATAACATTTTTAAGAATAGAAAAAATAATGTTTATTAATTTGAGTTTCTGAACTCAAATTAAAAGGAAAATTTGAATTTGAGTTTTAGTCTTAAACTCAAATTTAAACTCGAATTTAAACTTAACAGAACATGAACTCAAATAAAATTATAACTCGAATTGTATTTTTTTTAAATTTTTCACTCAAAAAAAACAAGCCCTAATATTCCGATCATTTCCAATTAATTATTCCTAAAACCCTCACAAAACCCTTCGTTTCCTTCCTCGTTCCGCCATTGCTGGTCTTCCTTTCCTCCGGCAACTGAGCTCCGATAATGTGGAAATCAATCCAGGTGGCCAAAGCCAACGTCACTTCCCACCCGAGGGCTTGGATCGCCGTCGGAATCGGCGTTACCGGGATCGTAGTTCTCGCCGAGACTCGCCGACGGAGAAGAAGAAGAAATGCCGAACCGGTCAAAAAGGAGGATTTCGGCGCTTTCGTTGAGCGGTTCGAAATCCTTCCCTTCCCTCAGCCGCCTCCGCCTGCCGCCAGGCTCTCCCTCGCCGGCCTCACCTTCGCCGTCAGCGACGCGTCCGTCTTCTCCTCACCTCACTGTAATTAATTTTTTTCCTTATTTTTGGATGTGAACTTTGTTTTGAAGATTTGAATTTTTTTTTTGGGTATGTGTAGATTTGAAGTGAGAGAATATTTGACTGGGTTTGGGAATCGGGATTGGAAGAGGACTCATGAGCCGGCCGAGAAGACGGCATTGGTGGTGACGGCTCTTTTGAAGAAAGGGGCTAAATGCGTTGGTAGGACTGTCATGGACGAGCTTGCATTTGGGTAAGGCTGACGGATGTAGGACGAGATAGAAATTAGAGAAGGGAGTTAGAATTTGGAAAGAAATAGAATCAAGAGGAGAAATAAAACCCGAAGAGAGATATAAGTAGAACCACATGAAGAAGAAATAGAGAAGAGTGAGAACTCAAGAGGAAAAGATCAGAAAATCAATCTCATTAATCGTCAATTCAGCGCTAATGTATTTATAGAGATCTAAAAGATAAACTTAATTAATTCGAAAATAATCTTAGGACATGCACATAATCCAATTCAAAATTAAATATAACTATATGATTTAGATTAAATAAATCATAATCTAATTCATCATCACTGATACACATTTCTTTCTTGCTGGTATTGTCAAATCTTACATTTTTTTTTTTTTTTGTGAGAGCATTAAAAAATAGGACCCAGATTGAATCACCACTGCTTTATCAAAGTTCTTATATGTTTTGTATACACGAACTTTTTTATTTTGATGTTTGACAAAATTTAAGGCCTAGAAACACACACGACTACTATTTTAGCAAATTTCTCAATACCTTACCTATAACCGAAAGGTCCTATAAATTTGATAGTACTTAGTTGTTATTGTTATGGGCTTGTCTGTTAGGATAACTGGAGAGAATGTGCATTATGGTACGCCTATTAACCCGCAAATACCGTCTTGCATTCCGGGTGGTTCATCTAGCGGTTCTGCTGTGGCTGTTGCAGCTGGCCTTGTTGACTTTGCTCTTGGTAAGATCAATTTTCTAATTTTTCTAGATTAATAAATGGCCATTTCGATGCAATGATGTATGATTAGCTATTGGGTGATATGAGTTTGATCTTGTTCTCTTAATGTTCATGTTGTTTCCGTTTCGGTTTTTGTTCTTGTCAGAGATTTTTATGTGATTTTCTAGAATTATGTTCTACCAAATCTCTGTCAATGTTTCCTAAGGATGTTGCTCTGATTCCCACAAAATCATGCTTGTTCTTAGCTTGAGCTGTATCATTAATTCCGATTTCCATACTCCATGTCTTCTTTCATATGGGTCAATTTGTGTTCAAAATGGCCATATCAGTTTTCTTCTTTTATTTTCCAATTATGGCAAGGCTTTTGCTCATGCAAAAATAAGCATGTATGAATTTGTATTGACGTCAGCTGCTATTGCTGCTTCTTACTTTTCCAGCCACAAATAGATCCCATTTTAATGGAGTTTTCATTTGCATAAATACAATTACACTCATTTAAAGTTATTTTCCTTTTCTAGGTACTGATACAACTGGATGTGTGAGAATCCCAGCATCATTTTGTGGTGTTATTGGATTTCGACCATCTCATGGGGCTGTCTCTACAATTGGAGTGTTGCCTAATTCACAAAGTTTGGACGCTGTTGGTATGTCAGAAACACAGTTTTTTCCACCCTCTTTTACATCGTCTACTAAAGTTCTTTTTATTTTCTTAAGCTTTCTTTTCTTTGGCTTGTTTTATTTTGATCTTGTAGGATTTTTTGCCCACGATCCATCTGTTCTGCATCGTGTTGGACACGTCTTACTTCAATTGAATTCAGTGGAACCTAAAAGGACAAGACGTATTATTTTTGCTGATGATCTTTTTCAGATTTCTAAGCTCCCTACACAAAGGACGGTGCATATTCTTAGCAAAGTAATTGAAGGTCTATCTGGATGTAAGTTGAAACACTTTTTGATACGTACCAAGCATGATTTAATATTTAGTTTCTTTGGTTTCTTAGGTTTTTTTTTTTAAATTTTTTATTTAGTTTTTCTCCATCCATGCTGTAATTAATAATAATAATAAATGCTGGAATTTTCGATGATATATTTGTCTTTGTAATGTGTAATATTAATGTAGTCATGATAAAAGGCAAAGTAACAATAGTTTTGCGGCGTCTCTTCTTTTGTTGATTGTGCAGACCAAGCACCAAAACATATGAATTTTGGAAAGTATATTGGTTCAAACGTACCCAGTCTAAAAGAATTCCGCGATACTTCTACAAACCTTCAAAAAGGAACATTTTCTTTGAAAGCTCTATCGTCTGCAATGCTTTTACTGCAAAGGTATTCAAGAATTAGGTTTTATGCTTTGTTGATGTCTAAACTACACAAAGCTAGCTGATAGTGCTGAATACATGTTTCGTGATCATACCACGGAATTGGGCAATTGAGTCCTCTTCAAAAAAAGCTTCAGTTCATCAGTCCGAAGTCTTTTCAACTTAGCTGCCAACTCCGGCTGTTTTTTTTCCCCCTTGTCTTCTTTGGACTTAAATTAATTATTTGTCATCAATCAAGAAAAGGGGTATTGAAAGGCTTGTTGAAGCCGTTTCAGAGAGTGTGGAGTGACAAGGATGAGATAACACTTCTAAAGGGGCTGAATGAATACATCGCGAAGATTGATGCCCAGGTCAACATGAACACCTTTCGCAAGTTTATCTAGAAGTCTGTATTGAAGAGCTCTCAAATAAGTGGTTGTCGGATAAACTCCGGAGACTGAAGCAGAAGTACGAGCTAAGAGGAAGAACCACAATCCGACGAGCTAAGAGGAAGAACCACAATCTGACAATGCGGCATGACTGGAAGATTTTCAAGTTGTCGAAGAAGTTTGGGGCTGCGGCGATGACGGCGACAATGACAAAGACTTGAAGGCTAAGGCTGCCAGAGTCAAGGTTATCTATGAGACAATGAAAGAAGGTTTTGGAAAGATGATTGATGAACAACTAATAATTGATTTAAGTCCGGAGTTGGGGGAAAAAAAAAGCGGAGTTGGTAGCTAAGTTGAAAAGGCTTCGGATTAATGAACTGAAGCTTTTGAAGAGGACTCAACTGCTAGGATAAATGGAGTTTGAAAATAAGTAAAGCACAGTCCATGAGGTTAGTTACAGTCCTTTAATTTTGTTGTTGCAATTGCAGTTTACTTGGGGACTTGGATGTAATTTTACTTTCTTCTGTGAATATTTGGTGCTGCTAGTTAGATATTGCCTTGCATTCTAGTTGAGGAACCATGGATTTATGCTCTTTTTTTATAACTTTTGTAATTATGCAATTCTTTTCAGATATGAATTTAAATCAAACCATGAAGAGTGGATTACATCGGTGAAACCAAAGCTAGGACCTGATGTATCAGAACGTGTTAATGCAGCAATTAAGACCACATATGAAAATATAAAGATTTTATATAAAGTTAGGACTGAGATGCGAGCTTCCCTTCAAAGTCTATTGAAGGTATTCTTCTTAATATTTGAAACGTACATTACTATTATTACCTTTATCAAATCATCTGTACATATCATATTCTTCTCTCTCTCTCTCTCTCTCACATGAAAAAGTTGCTTATGTTAGTTATTGGTTGATGTATATTTATATTTATTTACTTATTTTCCCATACTTTCCAAAACTTAGTCTTCTTGATTGGTTGGTTGTCTCAGTGGTTTTTGGTGTACTCAGGTCTCACGCTTTAACCATGTATTTTTGTATAACACCAGTTCAGAATCCAGAACTTCAGATGTTACTCTGGATTATCTCTAACACGTTCTGGTTGTCTCAGGATGATGGAATATTAGTAGCTCCCACCTCGGCAGATCCTCCATTGAAGCTTCGTACGAAGAAAGGATTTTCCTTTGAGTTCCTTGATCGGGTATTAGCACTAACAAGCATCGCAAGCATGTCTGGCTGCTGTCAGGTAAATGTTTTCGGCTTTAGCTTCTCTCTCTCTCTCTTGCTCTCTTCTTTTCCTTCTTCTTTTTCTCCGTACAACTTCTAGGCATAATTATTCATTTTGTAGGAGTACTTTATGTTGCCAGGTTACGATTCCAGTAGGAAAGAATGATTCTGTTTCACTTATGTCGTTCCATGGTGCGGATAAATTTCTTCTTGATACGGTTTTGGATATGTACTCGAGTCTTCAAGAGCAAGTCAGTGTTGCATCCAATTCATTGCCATTGCCAGATACCAACGGTAACTTGGATGCTTCAGAACTCTTAAAGGAGAAGGTTTGCTCATCCTTTCTATCTCAGTGGTCTATTTGTTTGCCTATTCTTAAAACAAAAAACCTTTGAAAATATTTTTATTTGACAATTGAATGTTTTTATATTCTTGTTATTGTTCTTAACAAAAAATATTCGTGTTATTGTCACCATTACATGTACATACTTTGTGGTTCTGTCTTCTCTTGGTGATGATTCTAAATTGCGGCTTACTGTGTCTGTATAATATAATGTGTTAGTGATAATTACGTGCCTTTTTAGTTTTACTGTAATATCTTAAACGTTGCCAGCCTTGTTGCAAAATTTTATTTTTATTATTTGTTTATTCATTTTCAAAATTTGTGATCTTCATAGGTGTCTGATTGCACTTGATATGCACCATCTCTTTGCAGCATTTGATGAAAGTTGGTTAAATACATGTTCTTGTTGTTGCCTTTTTAGGATTCTAGGATTAACAACTCTTGCTACCTGAGTTTTATTTTGGGTTTTATACGTAGTCCCCAAGCTCATTTTGTGCCTTTTCTTTTCTTTTATTTATTTATTTATTTTTACTCTAACATTGGTGTAAAAGGTACTAAATTTTTTCTTTTAGAAAAAGTACTAAAAAAAGTTCCAAATACATGTAATAATTTTTTGGGATAAAATCATTTTGATATCCTGTAATATATCAAAACATGCTTATGGTACCCTCTGTTTTTAGTAATATTAAATTGGTACCTCAACCTTTTAGAAAACATTTTTTTAGTACCTTAAGACCCATTTTTGGGACATAAAATGTTAAGGGGTTGTTTGGTTGGGGGATTCGTACCCCGATTCGAATTATGGTTCATGGTTCGCTGTAGTGTTTTCTCTCACAAAAAGTACACGTAAATAAAAAATGATTCTAATCCATGAACTAAACGTTTCCTAAATATACATTTTCTCAATTTTTACAAGAAATTCCATTTAAAATTAGAAAATTTTTAAATTAAAAAAATCTTCAAATAAAAAAACCTCAATACACAAACCTCAAAATCTTTAAAATAAAATTCCATTTAAAATTAGAAAACATTTTAGATGTGGAACCCAATGTCCCCCGTCCTGTCATCACCCCATCATCCCCTCCTCCGCCGCTGGCACCTTGAACCCGTCCGCAGCGGTAATTGAATTTTCTGGCGGAAGATGGCACACCAAACATACCCACTTTCTCATTTTTAGATAAAAAATAAACCTTAAACATAGCAAATAGAACACCTACAACCCAACACACAAACGCTGTCGTTCGCCGCCGTCCATCATTGGGAACCCAACATGCTACCGCCTCCTGCTTGCGCGAACCCATGTCCGCGCCGCCACACAAGCACATCTCAGCCGCGATCCAAGCAAGGCGATCAAGTCACGAACTCAGGCGTCATCACCCACCCCGCCAACGTATGGCTGTCGTGCGAGATCCAATCCATGGCCGCCTAGCCTTGGTTTTGAGTTCAATAGGGGAGGGGAGGGAAGATGAAGACGTTATCTCCTACCTTTGTAATTATTTCCTAGATCTGACCTTCTACGGTTTTTGTACTCATTTTTCTGGATTTTGGGTATAGGAAGAGGAAGAAATAGAAATGTTCTAACCTCTAAACATTCCATCTTTTATTGGACTATGATGTTGATTTCACAATCTAGGTTTGCGTTTGAAAATTTTTATTGCTGGTGTTCTTTCTTTTTTGAATTGACGGTGTGTGAAATCGAGTTAGATAAAGGAATCTGGTGTTTGATTTTTTTCGTTTGAGTATTACATCGGTTGGTTATTTTAATATTTCAGTATTTTAGCTTATCTTGCAAGCTTTGCTGACGTGTATGAAGTAGTTACAATATTTATCTCTTGTAACCGTGTATATAAGTGGTCTTCCACTATTCAGATGAAATAATAACAGAATTATTCATTTTTCCCAATTTCCCAATTCTCCCTGTTATTCGTAATATGGTATCAGAGCAAATTTCTTGCTGCTCAATCTGATTGTTCTTCAATTCATCATCTTCTTCGCTATTTCAATCTCGTCCTTGATTTCTTCCTGGATTTGATCGAAACATTTCATCAATTTTCATGGCTTCATTTGTTTCTGGGAACTCCTTGGCGATTTCTGGCAAGTCCGCCATTGACGATCCACTTAGCCCCTATTTTCTTCATCACTCTGACAGCTCAGGCCTCTCGCTTGTGTCTCAGCCATTAACAGGAGATAACTACGCCTACTGGAGTTGCGCGATGATCATTGCATTGTCTGTGAAGAACAAGTTGGGTTTCATGGATGGATCCGTGATGAAACCAGACGGTACAGATCTCAATCTGCTTAATTCCTAGATTAGAAATAATAATGTAGTCATTTCTTGGATTTTAAACGCTGTTTCTAAAGAAATCTCTGCCAGCATTCTATTTTCTAATTTTGCCTGTGAAATATGGCTTACCTCAAGGAACGTTTTCAACAGAGTAACGGTCTTAGGATTTTTCAGTTGAAACGAGAATTAGTTAATCATGCTTAGGACCATAATTCAGTGGCTGTGTATTTTACAAAGTTGAAATCTTTGTGGGATGAGTTGAATAATTTTAGGCCTAATTGCACCTGTGGCAAGTGTACTTGCGGTGGTGTCAAAGAACTTAGTTCTTTTTATCAAAATGAATATGTGATGGCTTTTCTCATGGGTTTAAATGAGTCATTTGCTCAGGTTAGGGGTCAATTACTGTTACTAGATCCCTTACCACCCATTAATAAGGTGTTTTCCTTGATTTCTCAAGAAGAACGCCAGCGAACCATTGGTTTTCATACTGGTACCCACACTGAATCTTCTAAACAGTGTCGCTGCCTTTGCTGTTAAAAATGATTCAGTTAAGAAACCTAATGGTGGAGGTGAAACCAGTGGGGGAAATAGGTTTCAAAAAAGGGATAAGCCCTTTTGTACTCATTGTAACTTCCATGGACATACCATTGACAAATGTTATAAGCTACATGCGTATCCACCTGGATTCAAACCAAAACAAAAGACCTATTCCAATAACAGTCAAGTTGCTGCTGTTAATCAAGTTTCCACCAAGTCCACAGATGCCAAGAATGCCAATACAGGGAATTTCTTTCAAAATCTCAATCCAATGCAATACCAACAACTAATGACGATGTTTTCTACACATTTGTCCTCTTCCAACAAAGGAAATGATTCTCAGGATATCTCCACTTCTTATTCCACAGGTATTTGCTTTTCAGTTTCTGTGAATAATGCTTTATCTTCAGCCAAGCCATGGATTATTGATTCTGGAGCCTCTAGACATATTTGTTCTGTTGCTAGCGTTTTTCTGTTTTTGCGACCTCTGAGCAATGCTAAGGTTACACTTCCAGATAACACTGCAATTCCTGTTCAGTTTTGTGGTGATGTCAGGCTAAATCAGTCTCTACTTTTGAAGAATGTTCTTTATGTTCCTTAGTTTAAGTTTAATCTGATTTCGGTCAGTGTCCTTACAACTGATGCACAACTCATGATTCAATTCCCTTCCTGACCAATTCATCATTCAGGAGGTCCACACCATGAAGATGATTGGCAGGGGTAACAAGAAAGGAGACCTTTACATTCTTAATTCTGATTCTCTGAATAAGGAATTTCCTCAGGAATTTTCTGCTTATGCAAATAAAGTCTCGGTTCAGCTTTGGCACAAGAGGCTTGGCCATCCTTCTGTTTCACGGCTTGAAGCTTTGAAAGACAAGCTGCAATGTGAAGTTTCCAAGGCTGGTTTTCCAGAACCATGTTATATTTGTCCTTTGGCAAAACAAAAGAGGCTGCCTTTTGTTTCTTCTAATCACATACGGCAGTCCCCTTTTGATTTAGTGCACTTTGATATATGGGGTCCTTTTCATGAGGCCTCTTATAATGGTCATAGGTATTTTTTAACCTTGGTAGATAATTGCACAAGGTTTACTTGGGTATACTTGCTTAAACAGAAATATGATGTAACCTCTGTTCTTCCAAAATTTTTCAATATGATAGCAACTCAGTTTGATTTTGCCATTAAAGAATGTCGATCTGACAATGCCAAAGAGCTTGCTTTTACTGATTTCTTTGATGCTAAAGGTGTGCTACATCAGTTTTCTTGTGTTGACAGGCCCCAACAAAATTCTGTAGTAGAGAGGAAACATTAACATTTGTTGAATGTTGCTCGTGCACTATATTTTCAGCCTCGGGTTCCACTTCAGTTTTGGACTGAGTGTGTTTTTACTGCTGCCTTCTTAATCAACAGGACTCCTTCATCTTTGCTTCATCACAAAACTCCTCACGAGGTTCTTTATCATTCCTTTGTTGATTATACCTTGTTTCGAGTCTTTGGCTGTCTAGCTTTTGCATCTACTCTTCCTGTTAATCGCGATAAGTTTCATGCAAGAGCTCGTACTCGTGTTTTTTTAGGGTATCCTGTTGGCATTAAAGGTTATAAACTCTATGATATTCAAACTAAACAGTTTTTCATTTTCAGAGATGTTGTCTTTCACGAACATGTCTTTCCATTTCATTCCATCACTACAGAAGAGAATTTGATTGACCCTTTCCCTGACCTTGTGTTACCTACACCACCTCCTGACAATTTCTCCACAAATCAGCCTAGTTCTCCTCCTTATTCCTCTGTTCCAACATCCACCATAGATCTTACTTCCACTGACATGCCTTCTCGGAAGTCTTCTAGGCAAATCAAACCACCCTCCTATCTTCGGGATTGTCACTGTAACCTTTTGACTCATACTGACTCCAAGGTTTCCGATTTCTCTAGTCCTCTATATCCTCTTTCCAACCATGTTGGCTATGATGCTCTTTCTCCCTCTTATAAACAATTTGTCCTCACAGTTGCCACTCAAGTTGAGCCTCAGTTTTATCATCAGGCAGTGACAGATTCTGAATGGCGGGATGCCATGCAGGCTGAGTTAGAAGCTATGGAATAGAATCATACTTGGTCTGTTGTTTCTTTGCCTAAAGACAAGTCTTCTATTGGCTGCAAGTGGGTTTATCGCATCAAATATAATTCAGATGGATCCATAGAGCGGCATAAAGCTCGTCTTGTAGCCAAGGGCTACACTCAACAAGAAGGAGTAGACTTCTTGGATACCTTTTCTCCTGTTGCCAAGTTGGTTACTGTCAAGATGTTACTGGCCTTGGCCGCTTCTCAACATTGGCACTTGACTCAGTTGGATGTGAATAACGCTTTCGTCAATGGCAATCTCTTTGAAGAGGTTTATATGGATCTTCCGTTGGGGTATAGTAGCAAGGGGAAGTTTTCTGGACAAGGGTCAAAATTGGTCTGCAAACTTCACAAGTCCATATATGGAGCAAGCGTCAAGGCAATGGTATTCCAAGTTTTCTCATGCCTTGCTTCAATTCGGCTTTCACCAAAGGCTGTGGTTCATCTTTTGTCGCCTTACTGGTGTACGTTGACGACATTATCATTACAGGTCCTAACCTTAAAATCATTGATTCTTTGAAGCTGTTTTTACACAGCCAATTCAAGCTCAAGGACCTGGGTGATTTAAAGTTTTTCCTTGGTCTTGAGATTGCTCGATCATCCAAGGGCATTGTTTTGTCTCAGCGGGAATACACTCTCCAGTTACTTGATGATACTGGGTTTCTTGCAGCTAAGCCGGCCAGTGTTCCCATGGATCCTAAGTTGTAGCTTGCTTCTAGCACTAGAGACCCCCTTGAGGATGCTTCTTCCTATTGAAGGCTTATCGGTAGATTGCTTTCTCTCTCTCTTTCCAGGCCTGATATTACTTTTGCTGTTCACAAGCTTAGTCAGTTCTTGGCTTGTCCTCGAGTTCCTCACCTTCACGCTATTCATCACTTGTTGCGGTACCTCAAATCTAAGCTTGGTCAAGGATTATTCTTCTCCTCTGCTTCTTCCCTTCAGTTGAAGGCTTTTTCCGATGCTGATTGGGTTGCCTGCTTGGATTCCTGGAAATCCATCATTGGTTTTTGTGTGTTCCTAGGTGACTCCTTAATTTCCTGGAAGTCCAAGAAACGAACTACTGTTTCCCGGTCATCTGCTGAAGCTGAGTATCGGGCATTAGCTGCCACTGTTAGTGAACTTCTATGGTTGAAGCAGTTGTTAGCATATCTCTCTTTTCTTGCTACCGATCCAGCTGTTCTTTTTTGTGATAATCAAGCAGCAATTCATATTGCTTCTAATCTAGTTTTTCACGAGCGCACCAAGCATATCGAAATTGATTGCCATTTTGTTCGTGACAAACTCACTGAAGGCATCATCAAGCTTTTGCCTGTTCGTTCCCAACATCAACTTGCTGACATTTTTACTAAACCGCTGCCATTGTCCTTACTTTTTTCTCTGTTGTCCAAGATGGCTATAAAGGATATTTATAGTCCATCTTGAGGGGACGTATTACATCAGTTGGTTATTTTAATATTTCAGTATCTTAGCTTATCTTGCAAGCTTTGCTGACGTGTATGAAGTAGTTACAATATTTATCTATTGTAACTGTGTATGTAAGTGGTCTTCCACTATTCAGATGAAATAATAACAGAATTATTCATTTTTCCCAATTTCCCAATTCTCCCTGTTATTCGTAATATTGAGATCCGTAGATTTTATTTTTCTTGGTCTTTATATATGATAGTAGTGCTTTGTCATTCAATTCACATTTGGTGGTTTCTTCCCCCTTTTTTTTTTTTTTTTCTTCTTCTTGTGTATATTTTGTGTAAGGGAATTCTAGTGGATGAAACTTTGAATTCGATTGTTCCAGCAAAAAAAAGTTGAATTTTAATTGGGTTTTCTTAGTATCCATTCTCTGAGATCTGTATATTGAGGTCTTTTTTATTTAAAGTTTTTTTTGTTTGTTTAAATGTTGGAGTTTTAAATGGAATTTTTAGGAAAAAAAAAAATAAGAAAACAGTGATAAGGGCACATTTGACTTCATGTCCCAAAAAGGGCTTTAAGGTACCAAAAGAATTTTTTTTTTAAAAGTTTAAGTACCATTTTGATATTATTAAAAACAGAGGTACCAAAAGCATGTTTTGATTTAACCCAGGGTATTAAAATGATTTTATCCCTAATTTTTTTTAGTGTTGGTGTTTATGTGTATCGTTTAATCTTAATTACTAGCTTAGTACTATTGAAGTGGGTTTTATATAGGCTATTTTAAAACTGTTACTTTATAAGATCTTTTTACATTATATAGAAAGCCTTCATCACAGTTATTTATTTTTCTACGGTCTGTCTTGTCACCAATTTACCTACTTGTGGTAGAGAATAGCAGGAATTATTTGGATGTTTTAATCTAGTTATGTATGAAAATGTAGTCCTTATTTACATACAAATCTCTTCCAGGGGAATGCTGCATTCAAGGGAAAGCAATGGAATAAAGCTGTGAATTACTACACTGAAGCTATCAAATTAAATGGGGTTAATGCTACGTACTATAGCAACCGGGCAGCTGCTTTCTTAGAGTTAGGCTGGTATGACGTTCATTAGATTTATTTACCATCTTTCTGTTATTATTATTGTCTTATTTTGATTGTATTTCTTTTTGCTCTCTAAGCAGTTCCTTTATCAATTTATTTCAATTATGCAGTTTTCAGCAAGCGGAAGAAGACTGCAGCAAGGCATTAGAACTTGACCAGAAGGTAAGTGACTAGTGAGAACGGTTTTGATCTCAAGTATTCTATTCAACACATTCTTTTACTACACGGGTTGTTTGTGTCTTTACTTTTTCAGTGTCTTTTCTGTATTCTTATGTAGAACACGTGGGTTCTTTTATGCTTAATGTAACTTATGCTTGTTTTATTTAAGTAACTCTTCTAACACATACTTCACTCGTATACACGAAAGTACGGAGTCATATGCATGGAGATTCATGACTATGCTCGTAATTGTGAATTAAGCCCTTTATTTTTCTGGGGGGCCTTCTCAGAGAGATAACCAATTTGAGCTATACATCTTTAACATGCTCTAGATATTATTGTTAACCTTTTCTCAGAGACGCTTTTCACAGTACTTGTTTAAGCTAGTGTGGTGTTGTTGTTGTTATAATAGTATTAGATACTATTCTTGGTGCATCTCTTATCAACTTAAGGTTTTAGGAGAATCAGTATTCTAAGATGGCATTTTATCAATAAAGGTTTTCGTTTATAATAAAAAAGAAAAAGTATACTAACATGGTAACAAGATAGGTGGTCCTGCGTTCAAACACCAATAATTGGACTCTCTAGCTTGTTTGTTACGTCTTACATGTAGGCCTTTGTTTAGTTTATTCCCTTTCTTTCTAAGATTTGAGCCAAGTGTTTTGCATTTGTTTGGATTTGGCTCCTTTAGAATTGTTCAGGCACGCACGTGACAGGGGAGATTTGGACAATAAATACTATTATGTTGGTTAAAAAATGACCCAATACTTTGTCATATTCATATTTCTAGTCGTTAAAATCATTTATCTTTACCATTAGTTCCCTTAACATGTGTCACCATGTAAGACACTCTTAACGTTCAAAAGGGTCTTCCAAAGATTCGAGTGTCCTATATAGTTGGAAAAAGTAAAGTAGAATGCATGCTTGAATGGAAGCATCTATAGTTGAATGACCAGTTCTTCTCTTCTCATCTCTGCGCAGAATGTGAAGGCATATCTGAGACGTGGAACAGCGAGGGAGTCACTTATCCGCTATAAAGAGGCTATTCAAGGTGAGAATGTTGATTTCACTCGATCTTTTGTGTTGTATGTGAACTTGACCTGAGCTGCAAAAGTTAAGGAACGAAACAATAACTTTTCACATTTCTTGTTAATCATATATATTGTTGTGGTTGCTTAATGATTAATTAACACCAATAATGTTTTGCTTTTTATGATCTCACAATTAAGTCGCACTCCTGAATTAAAAGTGACTGCACTTTGCATACAAATTTCCTTGCATCTACAAATATGCAATGTACCACTGATTAGATCACAAAACTTTTTTTGTGTAACCCAAAAAAAAAAAAAAAGGTTAATCTACAATGAGATCTAAAATGGGATCTCTATGTCGTTTTGAATATCTTTTGATTCTTCTGTATTTTGCAGATTTCAAGCATGCTCTGGTTCTTGAACCGCACAATAAGGTTGCTAATCTTGCTGAAAAAAGATTAAGGAAACGAATGATGAGCTAAGACTTTCATGATTGATCTCTCTCTTTCCCCTGGCTACATAATAGAGACCCAGCTTTCGTGCTAAAATAATAGTGTTCACAAGCCGTGGTTTCTAAGCTATTTGGAGTGTAAGCAAAGGTAGCGGCAAGGCCGGGTTTGTCCTTGGTGGATGCGGCAATTTTATTTTATTCTCTTCGAATTTTTATGTTGTCTTTTTTGTAATCATATCGCAATATGGCGTCGGTCATGGCCATTGTTGTCAACATGGATACTAGAGTCAACTCGTCCGGCAGGATAAACAACAGAAAAGAAAGGAAAAGGAAAAAAGAAGAAAAATAGTAAAGATGTCAATAAAATCCAAGCTTTTGTCCGCATGAACAAGTCTTTGAATGTTGTTTTTCTTTCTCGTTTTATGTATTGTCTAATTGTTTCTTCTCCAAGCAGGATTTGGTGAGAGTAAAAGCACCTTCCCATGCATTTAGTAGACATTGTCGTACATAGGTAAATTATGTGTGTTGTAAATCTGCGTTTGTTTTATAAAGATTTTGATTGCTTGTAGGGATGAAGTTGGCTATTTGTATCGAAACTCCAAAGTTGTTCTAGGAGTGTTCGTGGGTTGCGTTTGTTTTATTTTTTATTTTTTTATAGATTCAAATTACAATTTAACTTCTGTTATAAAAATATAAATTTTAGTTCCCTTTATTATTTTCCTTCGTAAGATTCATTCTGATTTGTTATATCTTTGGTCCTGAAAGATTCCTTTTTTGGTGTTTTGTCTACTGAGTGCTGTTAATGTGTCTTTTTTTTTTTTTTGAAAGCTTAATTATACAAAAAAAGGGAGCATCAAACTTCAATTTTTTTAGTCGGATCTTGACGTGAGAAATAAGGGGATACAAGTAAGAGGTAAATTGTTAACTGTTAACACGTGGTGGAAGTCATTAGTTTGAACCAAGAAAGGTATTTTTCTTGTACTTTATGTTATAGGTATACACCAAACCATTCAAACTAACTAAAACAATTAAATCAAATCAAACCAAAAGAAAAACCAAACAAACCAATTAATAATCGGTTTTATTTGATTTAATTTTTTTTAAAAGGTTTACGCATAAAAAAAAAAACCAAACCAACTTCTATTAATATATATATATATATATTTTATATGTTTGTAACTTATTTATATTAAAAAATGCACTTATTTTAAAATTAAATGATAATCCCTAAAAATTTATGCATCACTTATATATACGGTACTAATATTGTCGATGCACTCTACGCCTCTACTCCAAGTTCTTTCCGCAGACCATAACCTATATTAGGATGTTAATTTTTAACTTTGAATTTTTGTTTATGTTTGAATTGTATATTTTATTCTTGAGTTATTGATGTTTACAGTTAAGAAATAATAGAATGTCTATCATACAAAATATTAATACCAGTTATAATTAAAACTTGAGAAGATATTGTAAAATATTAATTTGAATCAATTAGAAAAACTAAATTAAATAAATTATGATCGTTTAGTTTGAGTTAGATTAGTTTGATTTGAAAATTTTTAAACTAATTTATAATTAATTTAGTTTACATTTCAACTAAAATAAACACGGTTAGGTGGATTGTACATCCCTACTTTATACCTTCCTAAAAATATTGTGAAAACTAACATCTTGACCTTTGAAAAGTACATAGCCAATAAATAATTACCGGTATAGTTTAATGATAATTCTACACATAATTCTGCTACAAGATATAAAATTCAAATTCTCTCTACCCCAAATTGAAAAAAAAAAAAAAATCCTAACTAATGATAATCCAAACATCAATTGCCTCCTATAAATTTATCAAAAAAAAAAAATCACAAATTCCAAAAGCAAAAAAAGAAAAACGTCTTCCTCTTCTTCAATTTTTCTCATTCACATATAAATAGTAGTTAATTTCATATCATTCCATAACAAAAAATTTGTTCATCTCCAAAAGTAATGTTCCCTTTCAACAATCTCTCCAAATGCTTCAAATTCACGGCCTCCCGCGACTGGTTCCACCGCCACACCTTCATCGCCGCCGGCCTCCGCCCCACCACCACTGACCTCGGCGGCGGCACCATCATGCACTGCTGGGCCCCGAAATCCCGACGCCAATCCAAGCCCGACCTCCTCCTCCTCCACGGCTTCGGCGCCACCGCCACGTGGCAATTCAGCGAGCACCTCCACCACTTCGCCGCCCGCTTCAATGTCTACGTGCCGGACCTCCTCTTCTTCGGCGGGTCCCACACGGCGGGGCCCGAGAGGACGGAGGGGTTCCAGGCGAGGTGCGTGATGAGGGTGATGGCGGAGGGGCACGGCGTGAGGCGGATGAGCGTGGTGGGGATAAGCTACGGCGGGTTCGTGGCGTACGACATGGCGGCGGAGTTTCCGGAGGCGGTGGAGAGGGTGGTGCTGTGCTGCGCGGGGGTTTGTTTGGAGGAGAAGGACATGGCGGAGGGGCTCTTTAAGGTGAGGGACTTGGATGAGGCGGCGAGTATTCTTCTGCCGCAGACGCCGGAGAAGCTCAGGGAGTTGATGCGGTTGTCCTTCGTTAAGCCCTTCAGAGGCGTGCCCTCTTGTTTCTTAGCCGATTTCATTGACGTATGATTTTTTTTTCTTTTTATTTTTATTATTCTATTTTAGTGCATGTTTCCTTATTTCCGTGCATGTGTGTGGTTCCTTTTTTTTTTTCTCTCCTTTTTTTCCCATAATATATAAGGATTTGGTTTATAGATTATAATTATTTTTGATTTATGTGTATTTTTAAAAAGAAAATATTATAACGAATCATAAATCATGATTCAAATTATAGTATGAATCCTCTTACCAAACACACTTTTAAAGAACCCCTTGAGATTTTTTAAGGTTTTTAACATATTTTTCCTCTAAATTTATTGTGTTTTAGTAAATTATCCCCTAAATTTTAATTTTAATTTTGATAATGACAATCTTTTACCGATGCGTATCTCGTGACTTTAAAAAACCTCATGAATTGACTTGGGTTACAAGTACTCGTGATTTAACTTGTGTTACATGTGTGGTTTTGACTGCATTGACGACATCTTTTGGTGTAAATAATTATTCTTTACCTCAGAACCAAATTGGTTTGTTGGGCTGTAAAAATTGCAATAGGTGTACCAAAAGTGATTTTGTTGCAAATTTTTAAAATGGGCACCTATATATTAGATTATTGAAAAATTAACCTAAAAATTAAAACTATATGATTTTTACAGGTGATGTGTACAGAGTTTGTAGAAGAGAAAAGAGAATTGATCCAAACAATACTTAAAGGAAGAAAGCTTTCTAACCTTCCAAAGATTACACAGGTAATTTGCATATTATATATATATATTTATACACACATATATATATATATATACGGTGCTTCAACAGTCCGTCTAGTACTATTTGACGGACCGAAACATTCATTCTATTAGGACCATCTAGATTGATCTCAACAGTTTGAATTAGTGAAGGGGCAATGATGTGGCACGCTACTTGTGTCAGTGGTAAGTAAGTTACCAAATAGTCAGTAACATTTAGTTGAGCTACAGTAACGGCTAATTTTTTTTTTCCAGTAACACGCATTTTGTTTGCCGTTTTTTTTTCTCTCTTCTAACTCTATAAAAACTCATACTTAAAAGTTCTTCGTTTCAACTGCGATTGTGATGATTCTTCTTTTTATGTGTTCAAAGCGAAAAAAATATATAAAAATCAAGAGTCATATTGTCTAGATAATTTAAGAATAAAAATTGAGTTTTTATAAGATTTGTGTCGTGCCATTAAATTTTTAAATGATTATTTTACACTATTAAAACTCATTCTCATTTTTTATTATTCAACAATAAAAATCGAGTTCTTGATCCCTGTTTATTTTTAGAATTCGAATTAATTTGCCAAGTACATAATATAGTGATATTCTGCATGTACCTCGTATGACATTACTTATTTTTCATCACCAACAATTTTTTAGGCATTGTGCTCTGGTTTATTTTCCCTTTCCGTCCATAAATTTGCATTGACCGCTTGGTATAAGCTAAGTTCTTTTCCTTACATTTCAATCTACTCGAGATTACGTTAAGAGTGATTAACAATGGTTAGTCTCACTCATGATTAAATAATTTTTTTTTACTATATGTCATTCGATTACGATATAAAAAACCTTTCACATTTTCGATTTTAACTATATTCATAGGCGCACGTGCGTAATTTTTTTTACTTACTACTTATTGAATGTAATACGATGATATTGAACTACAACATACCCACAAGAAAATAAGTTGGACGCTTGGAACAACGTTATCCTTAATAACTAGTTTTGGCTTCCAACAACAAACAAGATAAAAGGTTTATATGAATATATAAAAAAAAAAAAGGTGATTTTAAAGAAAAAAATTTCACGAATTTGAGGGGGCAAGAGGGTCTAAAATCACCTGCGCACATAATACCTTCCTTTCGTAGATATATTGCCAATTTACTTCAACTTTTTGTATTTTTTTCCTCATCTATTTAGCATCAAAAACTAGTTAACCTTTAAAAAAAATAAAAAAAATAAACATAACCCGTCAAGTTGTTAATATAATACCTTCGTTTGGCAGATATCATTTCTCAACTATTACATTTTTTAATCATCGAGCATTTGATATTACAATAAAATTATAAAAATATTGTACGACCTTATTAGGATATATCTCCACTCTCTCATATAAAACGGTCCCCACTTATGGGACCCATTTAAGATCCACCAGTGGAGCTCACTTTTTATGAGATATTGATAATTTAATCATATCGAGATAAATAAAATTACTAAAAAAAATAAGGCATGATCCATTATATCTAGTCACACTTCCCCACTCGTGTTTCATGTAACGTCGTTGGCATGTTACTTTGTAGATGTCAAAATGTTTCCCTACAATGTCTGAATGTTATCTTGTCATTCACGAACAAGAACCCAACTATTTTTTAGGATTTAAAAATTCATTATCTCTGCATGAAATGCCTCTTGCAACACCATTATACCTCCTAAATTACATCAATGCCACTTGAACAGTTTCCCATCTTCCGTTACTTTAGTAGTTGGTAATGCACAGTTGTCTCTTAGCTATCTGTCACTGTATCAGGTAAGTTGCTGACTAAACATTTTGTCCTCAGTCCTCTTTCTGCCACTTGTGAAAGAATTAGGCCTCGTTCACTTCGTTAATTTGAGTTTAAAATTTGAGTTGAGATGTGATTTTATGTGAGAATTTTTTACTGTAGCAAAAAAGTTAGATGTGATTGTTTGTGAGAGCTTTTTACTGTAAAAAAACTCGAATTTTAAACTCGAATCAACGAAATGAACAGGGTCTTAGTCCGTCCAATAGACCGTAGCCTTTGCGCATATATATATATATATATATATTAGCTTCATTTCTATAATTCCATTGCTATATTTCTTTGAGAAGTACTGTTTTGCATTGATTTAACTAATATTTACTCTTTGAATTGAAAACCTAACTTAATATGCAGAGCACACTGATAATATGGGGAGAACAAGATCAGATATTTCCTTTGGAACTTGGTTATAGATTGAAAAGGTAACTAAACCAGGCAAACTTTTGATTTGTTATTTTGTTAACTCTCTCTAAATGACAAACTTTGATTTTAATTCCGAATTTTGGCATTTTATAGGCATGTTGGAGAAAACGCAGAATTGGTGGTCATTAAGAACGCAGGACATGCTGTCAACTTAGAAAAGCCCAAGGAGTTTGTTAAGCACCTAAAATTTTTTCTTGAGGATTCTATTTCATCTACATCCTTGAAAAATTAAAAAGATCAACATTATTGAGGTTATAGACTAGAAAATTAATATATATTCTGATTTGGCATATATCTTAAATTGGATCTTTTTTTTTTTTTTTTTCAAGCCTTCTTGCTTTGCAATTTTATATATGAAAAATGGTCTAGCATCCCAACATTTAACTCAACACTTGATATAAATTAACGACTATTGAATTATTTTGATAAATTGCCCACTAAAATTTAAAATTTATTGCAATTGAAATCTAATAGCAATTTACACTTCTTTGTTTGTTTGTGTGTGCTGAACTGATTAAAAGTTGTTCTTATTATTACTTGTAGCAATTGAAGTTTCCAATAATAATTTACACTTCTTGTCATCTGGTTATAAATATTATTATTGTTGTTGTTTTTTGGGATAGTTTGTACTTGTATTTATAAGTAATAGAAGAAAATAAACCTAAGTTGGGGCCTTTTTATTAGTATTCGGATAATGCTTAAAAATGTGCTTTTATGTTTAAGAAGAGTTTTTGAATCTGTTCGGATAAAAAAGTCAAAAGCACTTATTGTTATAAAAAATAATGTAATAAAAGGATATGGATAAAATATTTAATTTGTTATTAAAAAATAAAAGATTAAAAATGTAAATAAAAAAACTTTTCATAAGCACTATTTTCATAAGTATTAAAGAGATAGTTTATTCTAAAAATATTTAAAAAAATCAAAAACACTTTAAAATTGTCCATCTAAATAAATTTAAAAAAGACTTTTAAACTAAATGAATTAAAAGCAGCTTTTTTTAAGAGAATTCAAAGGGGTCTGAAGACTTTGTTGCAAATGCATAGAAGTTGGTTTGTCCAGAAGGAAAAAAAAAAAAAAAATTTGGTTTGTGTGTGCCTCTTTATTGTGAATAAAAACTTGAATATTATTCACTTCTGGATTGCATGGAGAAAAACACGAGAGAGGAAGAAGAAAGTGTCTCTGATTTTGTGCTGAACTGATTAAAAGTTTTTCTTAGTATTACTAATTTTTTTTTAGGGAAATAGTAGAAAATAGACAAATATGAAAAATTTAAGAAAGTATATAGGTCAATTTTTAGTTATAGAAATTAATAAGCCATAACTTATCTAGTTATGGTTCATAACCAGATAAGTTATAGACAAACTTGTCAAGTTATGGTTCATAATCTGACAAGTTATAGACAAAAACTGTGAATTATGAATAATAATTTATCAAGTTATGGTTCATAACCAGATAAATTATAGACGAAAATAGTAATTTAACCTATTTATTAACTTATATAAACTATTAATTTATTAATTTTAATTCATTTCAAATCTTGAGATATTTCTCTCTTTTTCTACTTTTTTTTTTTTTTTTAAGTCGGTTTAAGTTTTAACTTTCAAAAAAGAAGATATACTTCTATTGAAGAGCTAGTGAACGCTAGTTGTCTCTCCGTCAACGGTGTTGAGGAACAATGACATGTCAAAATTTTATTTGATGGACAGAAAACTTAAACAGAGGATTTGTGTTCGTTTGTTTGTGTCATTGTGTGGGTGGGTATTCAATCTACTTATTAAAGTTTTGTTGCACTTTTTTAATTTTTTCTTTTTTAAGATTAGAGGAAATTACGACAAAGAGTGATTGCTCAAAAAGTAATTACAGAATTAAGTCTTTTGATTTACAATATCAAAGTAAAAATTTATCATCAATTTATGATGGGTGATTTTTAAGGTATTTTTCTTTATGACTTTTTCTTAATTTTAATTCTTCAATTTTTTATAAATAGAGATATATAATCGAGAAAACAGAAAAGAAAACAAGGTATGGATATGCGTATCTATATTATAGTTTTATTGTTAATTTGCTTTCAGTACTTGTTAAATTTGCTATATTCTAAGAATCGTCCTTGTATCAATGATTTTTATTAATAATGATCAAAACTAAATAACAAAAATAACAATAAATGCATTAAATAGCAAAATCTAGTAATCCTATCTCTAATTTAATTCAAAATATTAAATTTAAAAATCCTATCTCTAATTGAATAAAAATCCAAATTCTAAAGCTTATCATAAAAAAACTAAAAAACATAAGGTCCGCTTGTAAGAGTTTGTGCTTTTACTTTTAGAAGAAAACAGACAAATATCCTCTTAGAGTGCACGTGTCTCTATTTTTATCTATTATTCTTCATTGGTATCCTTTTAGTCAAATGACTATTGATCAAAAGGATATTAATTAAGAGTACAGAATAAAAATCATGACTCATATATTCTTAAGAGTAAGTTCAGTAATTTTCTCTTATAAAGTTTTAAAGAGCGGAAAAAGAGAAGCATAAGTCAATACCTTTTAATTAGTGTTCGGATAGTAAATGGAAAGAGCTTTTTTATTTCAAAAGAACTTTTGAACATGTTTAATAAATAAATCAGAAACTATTATCTTATTGTTATAACAAGTAATGTAATAAAAGGATATAGATGTATTTTTTAATTTGTTGTCCGCAAACAAAATGTTAAAAAGTAAATAAATTTTCTTTTTTCATAAACTCTTTTTCTATAAGCGTCTTAGAGGTGATTTGTCCTGAATGAACTTACAAAAACCAAAAAACAGTTTTGTGTTCTCTATCTAAACAACCTTAAAAATAGCTTTTAAACTAGTAAGCCGAAAACAACTTTTAAGCCGATCCAAATAGGCTCATAATTATTCTAAAATAAATAAATCATCTTAAAGATAAGACCTAATTTAAAATACTAATAACTAAAGATAATATTCGTATTCATAAGCTATACCGCTGCATCACAAATTTTGACTAACCCAATTTCAGAACAAATAATTTGCTGAAGCCGCTAAACCGATCCTTTTTCAAATAAGGGAAAATAAAGATTTATTTCTTGACCTTCATTCTTTTCCGCCACTCTTGTCAAAGATTGGATCAAAATTAATTTTTTGATCCGGTTATCTGCATAATGTCTATTTAGAGCACATTGAATTTAAAATATCTACTGTTTTATTTATGTACAAAAATATCTACTATCATACATATAAAGATCTTTATATATGTACATAATAAAAAGAAAAATAATGAATCATTAAATAAAAAAAAGTAATAAAATAAAGTCCGAATATTATGAAGGTCAAATTATTTCATTTAATGAGGTCTTTTTTTTTAAAAAAAAAAAACACAAATAAAACTACGAAAATAAAACCCTAAAAACCAATAGGTAAGGAATTCAAAAATTTATACAAAATTCGGATGAAAAAGATCATAAAGATTGAAACTAACTCTTTAGAAAAAAAAATAAATCTAGAAACAAATACAAAAATCATCACTGCCATAATGATCATGTTATTATGATAAAGATTTATAAATTTCAGTATATGTGTAAAATAAGAGAATAGGCATTACCATAGTGATAATGTTACTATGATAATTCCATATTGATAATGTTTCATTTAATATGTACTTTAAAAAATGAAAGTAGGGAAACGCTAATATAAAATCACTTGAAACAGTCATCATGTTCAGAAGTGCACAAAAAATAAACAACACCAACCATATTCTCTCAGCATACCGAAAACGTAGGAAACAAATGCAACAAAACGCAACCAAACTCTCGTATTCCCTTCTCAATGCTAGGAGTCTTAAAAAAAAGAAAGAAAAAAAAAAGAAATCGATACTAACCGAAAAAACTGAAAAATCGATTCCACGTGAGCAAACAGACCTCGTCAAATTAGAACACCCCAACACATCAACTTACCACCAGGCCATGTGCCACTTAACGCCAGAAGTTAGTCTTAATTATATTTATTATGTTTTTTACTTCTTGAAACTTGATCAGAGTTGAAAATCCGTGCAGCACCATTAAATGCATTAATACAAAGTCATTTATTATGGGCTCGTTCACTTTGCGAATTTGAGTTTTTAATTCGAGTTGAGATGTGACATTTTTTAAGAGCTTTTCACTGTAGCAGAAAAAGTTAAATGTGACATTTTCTGCGAGTTTTTTACTATAGAAACCTAAAATTGAAAACTCGAATCGGTGAAATGAACGAGACATGTGGAAAACTGAAACAACTATAAAAGATTATTTAAAAAATAAAAAACAAACTTTCAAACCATGGAATTCGGACCTTTCATCCCCTTCAAAACATGAACTCCCTTTACTAAACAAGTTGTTCTCAAAATTTGAAGTTATTTATTACAAGTTCACATCTCTTAAAAACTCAAGAAAATCATAATTTTAAAAGTCCCACGTGAAAAAGAAATGAAAATATTTTTGCTCAACTGCTCTATATAAAGAACAATGGATTACATTAACCTTCACAAGTCACAAGTTGACTAACATGCTAAAAAAAAAGTTGCTTGGTAAGAAAGGATGCAATACATAGATCAAAAGTGCACCAAAAATGAACAACACCAATCATGTTCTCTCAGCACACCGAAAACGTAGGATTAATCAATAATCAATAAGTACATACATCCAAACATAAGGAGAGAACGAATAGAAAGAGCAAAGGAGAGAGAATGAACCTTAGCATTACGTCACAATATCGGTCGATTTCCTTGTCCATGGCAGGCCAATCCTGGAGAAGCTCATCGATCTCGTCTGGTTTTCACGAAAGAGAGTCCTCCATAGCGAAGAGAAGAAGAAAATGTGAGTGAGGAAATTGAAGCAATTCGTGTCCTCCATAGCAAAGAGAAGAAGAAAATGTGAGTGAGGAAATTGAAGCAAAAGAGGAGAAAATTACAGTGAGGAAATGAGAAAGTGAATTTGGAGAAAATGATGAAAAGGAAATGAGACGAAGAAATAAATGAAAAAAAATGTAAATATATAAACGTAAAGAAATAGGCAAAACTATTTTTTTTTCTTTTCTTTTTAATTAGATTTTTTGTATATTTTTTTTTATCTCCTTTCTCTTATTATTTCTATTTTCAATTTTCTAAATCAATGTAATAAGATGAACAACGCATCCGTTCGTGAGTTCTCTCAATCTTCGTGAGTTCTCTTAATCAGCGTGCCCAAGTACAATAATCCAACACAAAAGAGAAAAAAAAAATTAAAAAGAAAAATAGATAGAGTGGGCAAGATTACTCGACCTGTCCTTTACCCAATTCCACAATATTATTTTTAAGCATTTAAAAGGTGTTTTCACTTAGAAAACTTGAATTTTGAGCATGATATTTACGTTAATTTATTTATTTTAGATTATGTTTAAACTATTGAAGATATCTCTCTTTTTTCCCTTTATTTTCGTTGAAAGAAATTACTGTAGATTAAAATTTTCAATCAATAATAAATGAAAAAATGGTAATAAATTTTCAAATAATTTATATTTCATAGTGTTTGAGTTGACGACATGTAGTTTTCTTCCCAATTTTGTTGTCGTTATTCTCCATGAGACGACATGTGTGTGTGTGTGTGTATATATATATATATATATCAAGAGTGGTTTGTCGTAAAATCAAGGTACATTTGTCGTTGAAAGTTCACCTCCAAAGTGTAGAATGACATTTTTCTCTCCTTGTAAAGTCGGGTTTATCCCTTTTAAAATGTAATTGTATAGCCAAGAAATGTAATGTAATGGAGAAGTATGTAGAATGATGTAATGAATGTTTGGACGTCCTTTGACATCTCAAAATTAGCGTCCTCATCATATCGTGAGAAAAGGGTGTCGTTTAAACCATTTGAATATAAGAATTATATTAAAGAATAGAAGTTATAGATTATAAATAAAATGATTTCATAATATGTGTTGAATATATATGCCATACATGAAAGTAAAATTATTATAAAGAATGTAAGCCTGAAGAAAACTATTAAATGAATATCATACAAATCATTAACTAAAGTATATAATATTAAAAAAAATACAACCACAGGCACAAAAACAACAATGGAAAAGGCAAAAGAAGAAATAAAGCATCACGACACCGAACAATAAGATAAATTGAAAAAAACACCAATTTAACGGCAAAGTAAAATCACTTGGAACAGTCATCATGTTCAGAAGTGCACAAAAAATGAACACCAACCATATTCTCTCAGCATACCGAAAACGTAGGAAACAAATGCAACAAAAAGCAACCAAACTTTCGTATTCCCTTCTCAATGCTAGGAGTTAAAAAAAAGAAAAATAAGAATGACACTAACCCAAAAAACCAAAAAATCGATTCCACGTCAGCAAACAGACCTCGTCGAATTGGAACACCCCAACACATCAACTCACCACTAGGCTATGTGCCACTTAATGCCAGAAGTTAATCTTAATTATGAGCCCGTTGAGTTCGCTAATTCAAGTTTTTAATTCGAGTTGAGATGTGATGTTATGTGAGAATTTTTTTTTGTAGTAAAAAAGTTAAATGTGACTGTTTTTTAGAATTTTTTACTATAATAAAACTCGAATTCTAAACTTGAATCAGCGAAATAAACGGAGTATTTATTATGTTTTTTACTTCTGAAACTTGTCAGAGTTGAAAATCCGTACAGCACCATTAAATGCATTAATACGAAGTGTGTGGAAAACTGAAACAACTATAAAAGATTATTTAAAAAATAAAAATTAAACTTTCAAACCATGGAATTCGGACCTTTCATCCCCTTCAAAACATGAACTCCCTTTACTAAACAAGTTGTTCTCACATTCTGAAGTTATTTAGTACAAGTTCACATCTCTTAAAAACTCTAAGAAAATCAGAATTTTAAAAGTCCCACATGAAAAAAAAATGAAAATATTTTTGCTCAACTACTCTATATAAAGAACAATGGATTACATTAACCTTCACAACTCACAACTACTCAAGGTTTTTTTTTTTTTAATATATATCAAGACCCAAAAGATTTCCAACAACAAGAATAGAAAATTAATAAGTATAATTATTTAACTCAACTTATTCAAAAAATCTTAACAGCAACAATCCAAAAATCGAAGAAGGTATTCAATAGAAGAATTCGGCACTCAAAGGAGCTTTATAAACCTTGAGGTTTCAATGAAGTAAATGTACAAGTATAATTATTTAACTCAACTTATTCAAGAAATCTTAACAGCAACAATCCAAAAATCAAAGAAGGTATTCAATAGAAGAATTCGGCACTCAAAGGAGCTTTATAAACCTTGAGCTTTCAATGAAGAAAACTGAGCTTTACGCTGAATTTTTGGATGAAATTTCAGTATGGTCTTCAAGTTTTTCAAAGCACTGTAGAAAAATTGAAGATAAATTCAAGTTTGAGGCACATGAAATTCAATTTTTAATAGATACACACATGTACTCCCAACTACTAGTTAATGGAAAGTTAAAGGCCCAGATCAATAGTCAATAAGTATATACATAAACAGAAACAATGCATGCTTTTTAAATTTTATAAAGACATGCATATACTTCAAGCATTAGTAAGTCAAAAATCATAAGATCAATCAATAATCAATAAGAACATAAATCCAAGCATACACAGAAACTATTGCAAATATCAATTCATACACAAATGCATATATACTCCTAAGCATTAGTTGGTAGAAAGCTGTTAGTGGGAAGATAAAAGTAGGTCACATCAATAAACAAATTACATACCACAGAGATTGCACGTGCAAATACAAATTCCTTTGTCATCCTACTGTACAATACTCCCATATGCAAAAACATGCTCATCACCTAACACATGCAGATTAATTTTCATAGAATAATTACTCGAATTGTGCTCAGTTATACTATTGACATTGTACACTTTCTTACTTAGTCTCTACTGTAGTGCAACTCATCCTTTAACAATATAGACTTATCAATTTTCCTGTTTGCAACAGTTGGTAAAATCTCAATATAATTATGCAAATTAATAAGTTATTAGTGTGTCATGGCCAGTTATACAAATACTTCAGATTTTCATGAGAAATTGAAAATTGAAAATAAAGTCTTGTTACAAAACTTTGAAAATCCACTATAAATTCAAATTTCAAAGCTCTGGCAATAAGAAAGTTCAGGTTTTCAACCAAATACCAAAACACAGAAACAACTCAAACTTAAGCTTAGAATCTGAGTTTTAAACAAGAATCTCAATGATTCAAAAGGTTTCAAAGTTCAAATAACATGAACAAACACAAAAATGGAATCCCCTTTCAAGGTTTTTTTTTTTTTTTTTTTTTTTTTTTTTCTAAATATATCAAGACCCAAGAGATTTCCAACAAGAATAGAAAATTTAGTAACAAGTACAATTATTTAACTCGACTTATTCAAGAAATCTCATCAGCAAGAATCCGAAAAGCAAATAAGATATTCAATAGAAGAATCTAGCACTCAAAGGAGGTTTATAAACCTTGAGATTTCAATGAAGAAAACTGACCTTTACGCTTGATTTTAGGATGAAATTTCAATATAGTCTTCAAGTTTTTCAAAGCACCATAGAAAAATTGAAGATAAATTCAAGTTTGAGGCACATGAAATTTAATTTTTTATAGACACAAACATATACTCACAAGTGTTAGTACATAGAAAGTAAAAGGCTCAGATCAGTAGTCAATAAATATATACATAAAAGAAACAATGCTTTTTTAAATTTATAGACACATGCATGTACTCAAAGCATAAGTAAGTCGAAAGTTAAATAGCATCAATCAATCATTACTTGGTGGAAATATCAACGTATACAAAAATGCATATCAATCAATCAATCACATATCCAAACATACACATAAATTATGTGCAAATATCAATTTATACACAAATGCATATAAACTCTTAAGCATTACTTAGTGGAAAGATAAAAAGGTCACATCAATAAACAATAAATACATATAAACAATTAAACATAGAGAGTAATCGCAAAGTACAATCAGTAAATACTTACGTCATATCAAAAACCCCAAGATTCTTTGGTTTGGCACCATTCACATTTTCAAACTCCTAACGAACCATCTCAACGAAGTCCAAGTCTATAGCCACAATCTTACCGCTATGTGTACAGAAGAAAACACCATTCCTCAAGAAGGATCTATATTTCTTTACGCTTATATATCGATTTACACTCTTCTTCATTTATTTCTTCTTCCCCACTTTTGTCTCATTTACTCCCCGCCATTTTCTCCTCGTCCACTTTTCAATTTCCTCACCGACATTTTCTCCTCTTTGCTATGGAGGACTCACCTGCGTGGAACCAAACTAGATCGATGAGCTTCTCCAGGATTGGCCTGCCATGGACAAGGAAACCGGCCAATATTGGGACGTCTTCTTTAAAATGCTGAGGTTCGTTCTCTCTCCTCTACTCTTTCTGGTTCAATCCTCTCTCTATCCTCCTTGTGTTTCCCTCCTCTGTTCCTCTCTCCCTCTCTATTTTTGTACTCATTTTTCTCTGTTCTTTGCAGAAAGCTCTGACCAGTGGATACAGAGCACCGATTGAGGAGGAGGTCGCTGTTTATATTACGGCTGCCAGAGATATAATCAACATCTTCCATGAGAAGATGTATGACCTGAAGAGAGACATTTTGGACGTCCCTATAGAGCTAGCGCCTTCTAACGTATCGACAATTCTTATTATGTTTTTTTTTTTTTCATATTTACAATCTTTTTAAATATTTTACTCTACTTTTGTATGATGCTCTTTATAGATCCTTTGAGGAATAATGTTTTCTACTGTACATATTACGGTAAGATTGCGACCACAGACCTGAACTTCATTTGTGTGGTCAAGATAGTTAATCATGAGTTTGAAAATGTGGATGGTGCCAAACCAGAGAATCTTGAGGCTTTCAATAGGATGTAAGTATCTACTGATTATACTCTACGATTATTCTCTATGTTTAATTGTTTATATTTATTTATTATTTATTGATGTGACCTTTTATAGTGAACAATAAACAATAAATATATATAAACGATTAAACATAAAAAGTAATCGCAAAGTATAATCAATAAATACTTACATCCTATTGAAAACCTTAAGATTCTCTAATTTGACACCATCCATATTTTTAAACTCCTCACGAACTATCTCGACTACACGAATGAAATTCAGGTCTGTAGCCACAATGTTACCGTAATGTGTATAGTAAAAAACATCATTCCTCAAAAGAATCTATAAACATACTACAAAAGTAGAATAAAATCTTTAAAAACTTGTAAATATGAAAAAAAGACAAACATAATCAGAATTGTCGATACGTTAGAAGGCGCTAGCTCTACAAGGATGCCCAAAATGTCTCTCTTCAAGTTATACATCTTCTCATAGAAGACGTTGATTACATCTCTAACCGCCGTCACATAAGCAGCGATCTCCTCCCTACTCGATGCTCTGTGTCTACTGGTCAGAACTTTCTACAAAGAACAACAAAAAACAGAGAAAAATGAGTACAAAAACAGGAAATGAGAGAAACAGAGGAGAGAGAAACACAAGGTGGATAGAGAGGGAGGAGAGCATTGAACCAAAAAGAGTAGAGGAGAGAGAATGAAGAGAAAGCACAGAGGCGAGAAAATGAACCTCAACATTAAAGAAGGCGTCCCAATATCGGCCAATTTCCTTATTCATGACAGGCCAATCCTAGAGAAGCTCATCGATCTAGTCTGATTTTCAGACAGGGGAGCCCTCCATAGCGAAGAGAAGAAAATATCGGTGAGTAAATTGGAAAACGAAAGAGGAGAAAATTACAATGAGGAAATGAGAAAGTGAACTAGGAGAAAATGACGAGAAGGAAATGAAACGAAAGTGGTGAAGAATAAATAAATGAAGAAGAATGTAAATCGATATATAAACGTAAAGAAATAGGTGAAACTATTTTTTTTCTTTTCTTTTTAATTAGATTTTTTGTATATTTTTTATCCCTTTTCTTTTATTATTTCAATTTCTAATTTCCTAAATCAATGTAATAAGATGCACAATGCATCCATTCATGAGTTCTCTCAACCAGTGTGTCCAAGTACAATAATCCAACACAAAAGAAAAAAAAATTAAAAAGAAAAATAGATAGATAGCGGGCAAGATTACTCGACCTGTCCTTTACCCAATTCCACAATAGTCTTCCAAAGAACTCTCAACATCTCTTGCCACCATGACCCAGATCTAACAATTCTTTCAAACATCAGAGACACAAAAAGAAACCTAAATTAAGCCTCATTTACTGGAATGACAAAAAAGGGCTAAATTTCCACTCAATTACGACTTACAATTCAAAACCTGAATTAATAGGGAGAGCAAACATTCATCTTGTAGAAAATTTCTGGAAAAATCAAATAGTTAAACTGAGAAAATTTAAATCTTGACTTGCGTAGGCACGAGTTTTCCAAATACTCCTTGGATAGGAACTAGCAGATATCCTGAGTATAGAAAAGAAAACAAATAAATAAGCAGAACACCACCGTGAATGGGGAGGAAATATTTGTAGAGAAAGATAATAAACAAAGAGAAGGTATTGAATAAAAGTATTTTTTTTTCTCTCTCAAAATTTTCCGGCAAATTATAACCTTAAAAAACCAAAAAAAAAAAAAAAGCCAAACAATAACTGCAAAAAATGTACAAAGTTTATGTACCTTGTTATCATGAAAAAACTCTGAAACGTCCAAATTTCAACGGCGGATGCGATTAAAGAACTGAAACCCAAACCAACTCCAAAACTCTCTGTTAAAAAAAACAATAATCAGAGGAGGAAACCCTAAATTACAATTATCAATTACAAAAATTAACAAAAAAATAATATATTAAACGCCAACAATAAAAGAAAAAAAATTAAAAAGAAAAATAGATAGAGTGCCCAAGATTACTCGACTTGTCCTTTACCCAATTCCACAATAGTCTTCCAAAGAACTCACAACATCTCTTGCCACCATGACCCAGATCTAACAAGGTTATCCCTTTTTATTTTTAGGCGGTGGTGGGAGACGGGGTCGCGGACCTCGTCCATAACCTCGGGAACAAAGACGAACTGTCGGCGCATTGGGAAAGCCTCTCTCCACCATCGATTATGGCGATGGCGTTGGCGTCAACGACGGCGACGGCGATGCCTTTGGTGGACTTGCAGCTCTCAGCGAAGACGTGTGGGGCTAGGGCTAGGGTTTGGGGGCTTAAGAGCCGTCTGGTTTTTCAGGAGGTTGCTCTATCCTCTGTTGTTGCACAGGAAGAGAGTAAGATTAAGTACTGCTAAACCCCTAGGAAGTGCTTATACTATGCGAGAAATCTTTGGACGTTGTCGTTTTGAAATAAAAGCCCTTTTGACCTTTTCCTGTATTTTCAGACAGTAATACTTCCTTTTTTTTAATTGTAAAAAAAAATACTGCTTTTTTTGTTGCTTTTTTGAAAGGTTTTCTTTTTCGAGTAAACCTTTTTAAAAGGTTTTTTCACTTGAAAACTTATATTTTGAACATGATAATCACGTTAATTTATTTATTTTAGATTATGTTTAAACTATTGAAGATATCTCTCTTTTTTTCCTTTCATTTTTGTTGAAAGAAATTACTACAGATTAAATTTTCCAATCAATAATAAATGAAAAAATGGTAATAAATTTTGAAGTAATTTATATTTCATAGTGTTTCAGTTGACGACATGTCGTTTTCTTCCCAAATTTACTGTCGTTTATCTCCATGAGACGACATGTACATAAATAAATAAATAAATATATATATATATATATATATATCTCAAGAGTGGTTTGTCGTAAAGTCAAGGTACATTTGTCGTTAAAAGTTCACCTTCAAAGTGTAGAACGACATTTTTCTCTCCTTGTCAAGTTGGGTTTATCCCTTTTAAAATGTAATTGTATAGCCGATGAATGTAATGTAATAGAGAAGTATGTAGAATGATGTAATGAATGTCTGGATGTCGTTTAACATCCCAAAATTAGTGTCATCATCATACCGTGAGAAAAAGGGCGTCGTTTAAACCATTTGCAATCGTTTTCTTTATGTTATTATATTATCTTTTTTTTTCTCTATTGTAATTTGGAAAATATTTTATAGTTAGTCATATTAAGATACTTAATAGATAATATCTAGGATCAAATGAAATAGTTATTAAGCCGGCATAAAAACAAATGATGTTATAATCTCTCTCCTTTTTTTTTCTCTGTTGTAATTTGAAAAATATTTTATAGAATATCTAGGATAAAATAAAATAGTAGTTAAGCCGGCATACAGATAAAAAAGTTATAGTTCTGACTATGGGTGTTCATGGATTAAAATTCAATCTACAATCCAATTCAAAGTAAACAAGTTTTCCATAATAACTTCACATATATTAATAAGTTTATATTATTTGACTACCAAAAATATATTCTATGAGTCTCAAACATGACTGGCAATACTAATGCCATGATATGTTATTTTTGTAGTGTTTAAGTATATCTAAAATCTATCTCTCTATAATTATATTATAAATAGTTTCTAAAAAAAAAAAAAACTATATTATAAATCGGAGTTCTTTTTGTGTGCTATCTTATTAAAATAACATTTTTGCTAAATAAAACCCTCATAAATATTTATCTTATTTAAACTTCATTTTCTTGCGGCCTCTTCGTATATTATTTTCTCATCACTTAAGTTATTTTGCTATATTATATATTTATTAATCTATCATTTATTGTCTATTATCTATTTAGTTATTTTCAAGGTTTAAAACTTTTGTCTCTCTATATATTTTTTTTTATTTTGTAGCCTTTACTTTTTTTATTTTGTTGGAATTGTTTATTGGTGGGTTGAGTCATTTCATGTTTCGTTATTATTGTTGTTATTTTTATTCTTATTCTTATTCTTATTATTGTTACTATTATTATTCTGCTTTTTGCCCACCTTGTTTAGTGTCTTTACTTTTTCTTATGTGTTAAAATGTCATTTTTTTCTACTTTATTCTTGAAATTTATTTTTAAAAATTTGCTCTTTTTTTTTAATGAATGTTTAAAAATCTACTTTTTCAAAAATACTATTATCTTTAATTTGTCCCACTTTCGATAATACTTTTAAAGTACATACTAATTGAAAAATTTTTCTTGTCATTCTGTAAAATATTATTTTGTTCATTTTAATATTATACCTTATGCTAAATAAGTGAATGGTAGAACTAATGGAAAAATGAGTATGTTATTCCTTTGTGTTCTTTGCAATCTCTCTATGTTTTATTTCTTTCTAGAAATTGACAATATTAAAAATAGTTAAATGAAATTTTCAATTATTTTTGCTAATTTTATCTATATTAAACCACATAAGATTTCATTTTAAACTTTAAATTCCTCCAACATTTTCTCTAATATTTCAACGTGATATTAGTTAACTGTTTATTAATAGTTAATCAAAACTTTTATTACAAAAAAAAAAAAGAAAAAAATGAGTATGTGAAACTTTTGTCGACGAATAAAAGTTAAAAGAAAATAAAAGTTTTTAAGTAAAATTTTAGTATAATACTTTTGTATGCTTGACGCTAGTTTAAAAGTGAACAGCATATATATAAAAGAGGTTCAAATATGAATGTTAGGAAGGAAACTTCCTCTAAGGACCGTAGATTAACACATATATGGCCAGACAATTGTTTTCAAGGATATTATCATAATACAAAAGTCAAGCAAACTTATTTTTGTGAAATTAGTAAGACCACTGACCATACAAATTGGAACAACACTAAAACAATGTATATATATACATATATATATATATATACACATACATATATATATACACATGCATGCTCTCTCTCTCACCTTTCTCTTTCCTGTCCTACCCCGTTTTTGTTTTTGTTTTTTTTTCCTTTTTTGTTTTCCTGATACTTGACATTGTGACATTGACTGTAGGGGAAGTGGTCATGCTTTCCAGGTATATACTGTCCAATTAGAGCAGATTCAGCCACTGTCTTGTCTGAACTGAAGGGTTCATCACATGACTTGGTTTGTGCCTTTTTTCTCATATATGCACATGCATGCTCTCTCTCTCTCTCACACACACACACACTCACACACGTGCGCGTGTGCACACACACACACCCCCCCACACTCACACGCAAAAGCACGAGCACATTTTGGATTTAAAGTTTACACCAGGGGTTTTTTTTTTTTTTTTTTGGTGGAACCTTAAATTTGGAAACGACCTAATAGCTTATATTTGAGCCTCTGGGCTTAGGGTTATATTTGGTGAAAACTTATTGTCAATCTATGTGGCACAGTTGACTCCCAACATTTTAAGACGAATTGGAAAGGTTTTTGATAAGCCCTTACTCAGGCAAGTGTTTGTTAGGAGGAATAAAAGAGTTTAGGAAGGGATAGCTGTCGTAAGTGGCTGTGGTAGTTTGGTGTTAGTAGTTTAGTGGAAATATTAGTTTAGCTTACAGGGGGAGTCTGGGGAGTGAGGAGAGGAAATTGTATAAAAGGGGAAAGAGGAGGGAAAAGCGGTTATCGGCGATTAAAACAGAAAGTGAACAAGTCTTGGAACAATTCCAAGCAAGGGGAGGAAGCAGACCCTCGAAGTTCTGCCGATCTGTGTATAATCATTGTTTCAATAATATCCTTCGTTGATTCTTTCTCATTCTTTCGAATTGTGCAATTAGTTTCTTTAGTTCTAGACCGGATAAACCAGAGCTTATCAATTTGCTATCAGAGCCCTGTTCTGGGCGATAATGGCTGCCAGGAAAACAGAGGAGAGGTTTGAGGCGGTGGAGAGGGAGATTCACCAAGTAAAAACGTCGGTGGAAAAGGAAATTGGCGAGGTAAGGGCGGAAATAAGTCAAAGTAGAGTTGAGGCTAACCAGAATATGGTTGTGATGAGCCAAAACGTTTCAGACCTGCGCTGATTGCTGGAGGAACAGATGCGTCTGTTGTCGGCGGCGGCGACGGCGGATCTGCCGGCGGAGGGATCTCGATCGGGAATCGCGAGAGTCTGGGAAGACGAGAATGGAGTAAATCTGGGACTAATTCGTGAAGCCGTGGAACGCGTGGCGAGGACGGCCGCCACCTGGAGGAAATGGCCGAAATTAGGGCTTTTGGGTGAAAGGAAAAGGGAAAACGACGGGAAATGGATGGCAGGGAAAATCACACAGGAGAGGAGAACGTACGAGCTAGGGCACGAGTTGCGAACGGAAATTACCCCGATTTTCATCGCGATGGCCGGGATGTAGGTCGCGATGGCCGGGATTTTGGTCACGATGGCCGGAATGGCCGACCTAGGGCGGACGAGGTGGCCGACGGGGAGCGAAACGCCCGCGATTAGCGGCGCGGCGAAGTCTGAGCAGGAGGATCGTCTGATGATCTTCGGGATGGTCGTGGTGGACGGTACGGAGAAGGGGAAGGAGGAGTTCGTACCTTGAATGGGGGTCCCAGGTTGAGAGGAGAGGGACGGGTCGAGGGGGAGCGAGTCGGTGGTCACACCGGAAGAGAGAGAAGAAGATATTGGGAAGAAAACGAGACTGAGGAATCTATGGAATTTTTTGGAAAATACGGGGAGCCGTGGGGAGGTGAGGATTTCTCACCAGTGAGACGGAAACAGCTGGATTATCCACTGTTCAGTGGCCTGGATCCGGATGGCTGGTTATTTAGAATGAATCGGTTTTTTTCACTTAACAGGTTCACAGAGAGGGAGAAATTAACAACAGCTGGAATTGCACTTGAGGGAGACGCGTTATCATGGTTTCAGTGGCAGAATCAGCGTCGGCCTTTCATTACTTGGACTGATTTCAGAGTAGCTCTCCTACAACGGTTTCGTTCTTCGCAGGAAGGAAATCTATGTGAACGATTCCTAGCGCTCAGGCAAATGGGAACAGTGGCTGAATATCGCTGGAACTTCGAGGTTTCGGCTGCTCCTTTACAGGAAATTCCAGAGGAAATCCTGGAAGGCATTTTTGTGAATGGTTTAAAGTCGGATATTCGGGCTGAACTGCGACTACTCCGGCCAGAGGGGCTTTCTGAAATCATGGACGTTGCACAGCGAATCGAAGAGAAGAACCTGTTGCTGCGAAGAGAGAATGGGGGAACACGGAGTTGGCGTCCACAAGCAGCGGGATTCACAGCCAATCCGCCAACAGGAACTACAGTGAACCAGTTCCCA